TGCTTAATCGGAGCTTCTTTCCATTCCAAATGAAACTGGTGATCGCCTTTTCCATCTCATTGAAGAATGGGATTGGTATTTGTATTGTGATTGCATTGAACATGTAGATTGCCTTTGGTAGGATTGTCATTTTCACAATATTGAGTCTTCCTATCCATGAGCCAGGGATATTCTTCCATTTCTCCAGGTCTCTTTTTGTTTCTTGTAGTAATGTTTTGTAATTTTCTTTGAATAGATCCTTTGTGCTTCTGGTTAAGTTTACTCCCAAGTATTTAATCTTGTGATTAGCTATTGTGAATGGTATTCTTTTTCTTAGTTCCGGCTCTGTATTCTCTTTGTCACTATAGAGAAATTCAACTGCTTTTTGTATGTTGATCTTATATCCTGCTACTTTGCTGAATTGGTCCACTGTGCCCAATAGTTTTCTTGCTGAGTCTTTAGGATTTTCTAAGTATACTATCATGTCATCTGCATAGACATAATTTTACCTCCTTTTGCCTATTTGGATACCTTTTATTTCCTTCTCTTGTCTTATTGCTATCGCTAAAACTTCCAATACAATATTGCATAAGAGAGGTGATAGTGGGCATCCTTGCTTAGTTCCTGTTCTTAAATGGAATGCCTTTACCCTCTCTCCAGTGAGAACAATGTTGGCTCTCGGGTTTGCATATAAATACTTTTTACTATATTGAAGAAATTCCCTTCTAATCCTATTTTGTTGAGTGTTTTAATCAGGAAAGGGTGCTGGATTTTGTCCAAGGCCTTTTCTGCATCAATTGATAGAATCATTCTTTGCTAATGTGGTAAATTACATTAATTGTCTTCCTTATGTTGAACCATCCTTGCATACCTGTTATAAATCCCACTAGGTCATGGTGAGTTATTTCTTTGATGTATTGTTTGATTCTGTTGGCCCGTCGTTTATTCAGGAAATTTGTATCTATGTTTATAGGAGATATTGGCCTATAGTTTTCTATTTTGGTGGTGTCCTTACCTGACTTTGGTATCAAGGATGTGTTTTGCCTTATAGAATGCGTCTGGGAGATTTCCATCTTTTTCTGTTTTTTGAAATAATTCATGTAGAATTGGTTACATTCTTCTCTTAATGTTTGATTAAATTCAGTTGTACAATCATCTGGTTCAGGGGTTTTTTTGGTCAGAAATTGTTGTATTACCTTTTCAATTTCTTCTTTTGTAATGGGTCTTTTCAGATGTTCAGTTTCCGGTTGTGTCAGTTTAGGTAGGTTGTGCATTTCTAAGTATTTGTCCATTTCTTCTAGGTTTCTTATTTGAGTATAGTTTTTCATAATACTCTAATGTTAGCTTTTTTATTTTAGGTGGTTCTGTTGTGATGTTGCCTGATTTGTCTTATTTGGGTTATTGGTGTCTTCTCCTTCTTTACTTTTGTGAGTTTTGCTAATGGTTTGTCAATTTTATTGACCTTTTCAAAGAATAAACTCTTAGTTTTGTGGATAGTTTCAATTGTTTTCGGTTTTCTGTTTCATTTATTTCTGGTCTAATTTTTAAAATTTCAGTTTTTTTAGAGAGTATTGGGTTTTCTTTCTGTTCTTTTTCAATTTGCTGGAGATGTTGGGTTAGAGAGTCAATGGTCTGTTTTTCCTGCCTTTTGACGTATTTGCTTATTGCTATATAGATTGACCTCTGATCACCACTTTGGCTGTTTCCCAGAGGTTTTGGTAAGTGGTGTTTTCCTTGTCATTTGTTTCAAGAAACTTTTTAATTTTATTTTTTATTTCTAGTACACAGTCATGTTCAATCAAGGTGCTGTTTAGCTTCCAAATGTATGTTTTTTTTTCTCCTTTATCTTTTATTAATTTCTAATTTTGTTGCATTATGGTCTGAAAAGATGCTTTGTATTATTTCTATGTTTTTTAATTTATTGATGCTTGCCTTGTGACCTAGAATGTGATCTATTCTGGAGAACGTTCCATGCACATTGGAGAAGAAGGTATACTGTGCTTTTTTGGGGTGCATTAGCCTATAAATATCTATGAGGTCAAGTTGGTTTATTGTGTGGTTTAATTCTTCATTATCTTTTGTGAGTTTCTTTCTTTTAGCTCTATCTTGTCTTGAGAGTATTGAAGTCTTCAAGTACAATAATAGTGTTATCTTTTTCCTTTTTCAGTTTTGTTAATGTTTGTTTTATGTATTTTGCTGGTCTTTTATTTGGTGCATAGATATTTATTATTGTTTTGCCCTCTTGTTCTATTGACCCTTTCAGCATTATCCTTTGTGATGGTTTTTACATTGACATTTATTTTATCAGAGATTAATATCGGTACTCCTGCCTTTTTCTGCTTGCCATTTGCTTGATATATTTTCCCCCACCCTTTTATTTTTAGTCTTTCTTTATCTTCATTTTTCAGGTGTGTCTCTTCTAGACAACATATTGATGAATTTTGTTTTTTATCCAATCTGCTACTCTTTTTGTCTTCAGAGGTGCATCTAAACCATTCACATTCAGTGTGACTATTGGGAGGGAAGGTTTTATTGCTATCATTGTGTTGAGTTCTTTTTGGTGTTACTTTGGACCATGCGGCTTTCTGTGGTATGTCTGTAAAAAGGATATCTCTGAGTCTTTCCTGCAATGCTGGTCTTGTTTTCACAAGCTCTCCTAGGTTCTGCTTTTTTGGGAATATCTTGATCTCTCCTTCGCATTTGATGGATAATTTTTCTGGGTACAGTATTCTTGGTTGACAGTAGTGTTCTTTTTTTATATATATGTCCTTCCACTCTTCTTGCCTGCATGGTTTCTGCTGAGAAATGGGCACTTAATCTTATCTGTTCTCCCTTTTAGGTTACTCTTTGTTTCTCCCTTGCTTTCAAGATTCTCTCCTTATCTTTGGTTCTGGCAAATTTAACTATGATATGCCATTTTGTTTTTCTTTTGGCATCTAGTGTATGTGTTGTTTGCTGAGCTTCTTGAATATATATATACTCTCTTTTTTCATTATGCCTGGAAAGTTTTTTTCTAGCAATTCTTCCACAATTCTTTCTGTGCCTTTGCTTGCTTCTTCCTTCTGGGATTTCAGTGATGTGCATGTTATTTCTCTTAATGTTGCCCCACATTATTCTTAGGTTTTCTTCTTTTTCCTTCTTTTTTGAGTCTACTTTTTGGTCTAGCAGATCAGTGGTGACAATTCTGTCTTCAATTTCATTTGTTCTGTGTTCCATCTCTTCAGCTCTGCTCATGTGTCCCTCCATCATGTTGACAGCCTATGAAACATTGGCCTTTATATTTTGGATAGTGGGTTTCTTGTTTTTCCAGTGCCACCAATCCCATCCCTCGTTTGTTTTCTCTGCATTGTTCCACTTTTTTTTTTTTTTAGTTCCTCCTGGTTTTTGCTTGTCATATCATGTAATTCTTCAAGTTTGTCTTTTATCCATTAAATATATTCAATCATTCTTCTTTTAAATTCTATGTCAGAAAGTTTCATCAGACTTTCTGGCTTCAGGAAATCCACTGATACTGTGTCACCCTTTGGGGGTGACATTTTGCTTTGTTCTAATGTATTGTGTGGGATAGCTTGCTTTCTTTGAGACATTGATATGTTCTTGATCTGAGAACAATGCTCTAGAGATCAGTTGGGCAGCTACCCCACTTGTGTGTTTCTCTGAACTTCTGACTTCAGGGGCATGTCAGTTCAGAGCCTGTGAGAGCAACCTCTTGTTGATAAGACAGGTCAAGTTACTTCCAATTAAAGGCAAGTTGAATGACGGGACTTGTAGGCACCTATGTGGAGCCAAATGGGGTGAGGCAGGCATAGGGTTGGGGTGATCACAATGGCAGGTCAAGTACTTGGGGGACCTCAGTTGGACCTCAGCTCTTTGGGTGTGCTCACAATTGGGGTCTCTACTCAAATTCCAGATGTCCTTCTCCCACCCAGTGGTTTTTACTCAGTGGCACCTCCCCAGTGGCACTTATGCAGGTGCCCTCATGCAGCTGCCCATCCCCAAGCAGGGTCCTAGGTCCAGTGGGAACTGAAAGGTCAAAGTCAAATTCCCACTGACCCACCTGCCTCTGGCTGGTCGGCAGAGTCCATAGAAGTTCAGACAGAGTACCACTGGCTGGCTTGTTCCTGGACAGTCAGTGTGGCCCAAGAGAGTTTGTCCAAATTCCCCACCAGTGGGCATGCCCTTAGGTGCTCATACAGGTAATTGGCAATGCCCCAGAAAACCCAGTTAGGATCCTACCAGCCTTTCTTTTTCCAGATTAGTCCCACAGCAGCTCGGTTGGTGGCTTCAGGTAATGGCTGGATCCACAGCGTGGCTTTGTGTTCCTTTAGCTCCAGTAGGAACTGCTGCAACAAAAGTTCTGATTCAAAACCCTACTGTCCATGGCTTGTTGAGTTGGTTGGTCTCTGTGTGGCATGAAGGAGCCTCTAGTGGCCCTTGGGCACTGTTGGGGTCGCAAAGCTGTGGTGTGGCGGAGGCATCTGGTTGTGGAGCCGCCATGGGTAGGGGAAGAGGAGGAAACACAGGGCTGGGGGTGGGAGGAAGGGTCTCAGGCACTACCACCAGGAGGCAGGGGACTTGGGCCGCACCAGGGGTTTATGTGGTGGCAGGCTGCTTGTGGGGTCGTTGTGTAGCGTCAGGCTGCGGGGG